GAGAGAGAGAGAGAGAGAGAGAGAGAGAGAGAGTTCTTCTTCTTCCTCTTCTAAGTCCACCACCTCTTCTTCACCCTCTCACCACCTGACTTCTCAGTATCAGCAGACTACGACAGAGAGAGAAAGAGTTGTGACTTGGGACTTGACGACATTGGATCCAGACTCGACATTGGGATTCAGACATTGAACGAGGATTATTTGGGATCTGTATCATTGACTTGGTGTTGACGACATTCCCATATTTTCCTCTTCTTCGTCTAACCCCCCTCCTCTTCGTCTGTGTATGGCGGGGACTGGCGCATTCTTCCTGTGTGAGCGCCAGGCCCCTTCACACCCTGAAGGATGACGATGTATGTTGGGGTTGCATTGCAATATTGATTGTTCGGATCATTGGTATCTAAGTCTTCCGCTTCGCCACATTGTACTTTGTATGAGAGGTCGGTTCTTGTTCTGTCTGCACCTTTACGGTACGCAACACATATGCTACCAAGGTGGCCTGCGAGTTTCGCAATCAGCGGCACGACAACAACAACGCACCGCTCCTCTATGTCCACATCCAAGTTGGGCAAGCGTCCTGCACCGCTTTGCTGGATAGCGGCGCGTCTCATAATTCTATGAGCCAAGCCTTTATGCAAAAGGCTGGCCTTGGCGCACAAGTTCGAAGGAAGGCAAATTTGACGGCGATCAAGTTGGCAGACGGAAGGACGCAACAACTTATTGACCGGTACATCGAGTCCGTACCGGTGTATTTCGCACCTCATGCATGCAAACCGGTGACATTTGACATTTTGGACACGGACTTCGACATTATTTTGGGAATGCCTTGACTTGCAAGTGCGGATCACACGGTCAACTTCCACCGGTGGACTCTTACCGTTCGCGACACCTTCGACGACTTAGAGTCGTGTACTATTCTTCTTCCGCACCCTTCGATTCGGTGCCAAGTGGTGACGGCCAAGTCATTCCGGGTTACTTGTGCTTACGAGCAGCCCGACGAAATCGGACTATGTTTCCTACGGACTGTCGCGGTAGCCGACTTTTCACCCACGGACTTGTCTTCGGACCCCCGTGTATTGCGGTTGCTTGACGAGGTCGCCGACATCTTCGAGTCACCTACCGGTGTGGTGCCAGATAGGCCGATCTCTCACGAGATCATTCTTTAGGCCGGTGTCGTGCCGCCTAAATGTTGCATTTATCGCATGAGTGAGGAGGAGCTTACGGTCCTCCGCGCACAACTCCATGATTTGTTGGACAAGGGCTGGAACCGCCGTAGTAGCTCTCCATATGGAGTGCCAGTTCTCTTCGTATGGAAGAAGAACAAGGACCTACGATTGTGCATCGATTACCGCAAGCTCAACGCGCAAACCGTCAAGAAGGCGGGGCCTCTTCCTCGCATCGACGATCTTCTTGAGCGATTGGGCAGCGCGAAGTATTTTTCTAAGTTGGATTTGAAGTCGGGATATCATCAAATCTCCATCCGACCGAACGATCGTTACAAATCCGCGTTCAAGATGCAGTATGGGCATTTTGAGTGGGTGGTCATGCCTTTTGGCCTCACCAACGCCCCGACGACCTTTCAAGCGACAATGACCAGCGAGTTTCGTGCAATGTTGGACCGGTTCGTGCTGGTCTACTTGGACGATATTCTCGTCTATAGTCGGTCATTGGAGTATCATTTTGCGCACCTTCGACGAGTGTTGGAGACGCTCCGCTGTGCCAAGTACAAGGCCAACCACGACAACTGCGAATTTGTCCGGCAAGAGCTGGAATACTTGGGCCATTTTGTCACACCGGAGGGCATCAGTCCGCTATCAGACAAGATTTAAGCCATCCAAGAGTGGCCAGAACCACGGAACATCACGGATGTCCGTTCGTTCCTTGCCCTCGTCGGCTACTACCAACGTTTTATCAAGGGCTACTCGAAGATCGCGGCCCACTTGACCAAGCTTCAATGCGAGGATCGACCGTTTGACTTCGGCGAGGATCCGCAGGAATCATTTTTGGCTCTCAAAACCGCGCTATTATTTGCGGAGGTGTTGCGCATATACGACCCGCTTTTGCCTACGCGCGTCACTACAGATGGGTCCGGCTATGGCATTGGTGTCGTCCTCGAGCAACACGATGGCGTGGACTGGCACCCGGTCGAGTATTTCAGCAAGAAAGTGCCCGTCGTGCATGCCATTGACGATGCACGCAAAAAGGAGCTCCTCGCCTTTGTCCACGCGCTCAAGCGGTTGCGGCACTTCCTCCTTGGTCGAAGCCAATTCCGATGGGTAATGGACAACAATCCGTTGGTCTTTTACAAGACCCAAGGTACCGTCAACAGCACCATCGCTCGATAAATGGCTTTCATCAACCAGTTCGACTGCTTTCCCGATCACATTTCGGGGAAGTCGAACCGTTTTGCGGATGCTCTTTCATGGTGTCCAGATCATTGTACCGCGGTCTATTCAACCTTTGAGATCGACAACAACATGCGGGACAGCTTCATCCACGGCTACCAAGCCGACCTCGAGTTTCGCGTCAAGTACCCAAATTGCTCCTCTGTTATGACCCTGGCCAATTTCGAGATACACATCCACCGGAAAGTACAATGCCATCCAATTGCAGAAAGAAATGAATGAACTTGAGAGGAAAGAGAGAGGATTAGAAGAAGAAGAAGAAGTAAGAAAGAAGAAGTGGAAGATGTACACCAACAAAGACAATGACAAAGCTCTTCTTCTTCGCCCAACAATCTCCTCCTCCTTATCTCCACCTTCTCTTAGTCATTCAAGAAATAATAATTCAACGTTGAATGACTGGTCCAGAATCAATGTCCGAGTCCCTCTTGTACTGCAGGGATCACTCAAGGTCCACCATAGCCATGACCGCCTTCCCCACTCTTCACTCTCATAGGCCGAGGCTATGGCGGACTACTAGG